TTTAACAGCTCATACTTAAACATTTTTCAAACATTTTATAATATGCATACTTCTAACTAAGACATATTTAACTTTCATACAATGTTATGGAAAGCTGGCTGCAGAAGTCTGTTGCTTTGAGGTACTTATTTTTTCTAGCTGCTGTCCCTATGTAATAACTACCTGTAACAGTATTAATTTAGATATTAGCTTGTTTGTACTGTGCAATCTGAACAAAAATGCAACATTACTCATTTTATATACAATAAACTAGTTTATTTTTTATAACATCACTTGATTACTGACATGGACCAAACTAGTCATCATAGGGTAGTTGCAGCATCTGTTGCTTTTCTAGTGTAGTTACTAGATGCACATCCATTTAAACTCTGAAAATTAAGACTATTCACAATTAAGTTTTTAAAAAATTGTGGGTTTATCATCTTTATTTCCTTTGTAGATAAGATCAAGTGCTTTAAAATGTATAAATATTAAATTGTTGCTTTAGAATGGCTTTCCTAAGCCAGTACAACCAGTACAAGTGCAATAATTGCAAGTATTACTTGGAAAGCTGGAGCTTTTAGTGAATGCAACTTGAACTTCATTTTAAGAGTTGAAACTGATATTGAAATTAGAGAAAGGAAATCCATTTTGAGTCCCAGCATTAAGCTTATTCTGCATTGTAGCTACTGGTTACAGATAATGTCATACCTACAAGCCTGTTGTGACCTGACATCAAAATCCATTACTGTGTTAAGGGGATAATACTTAAAGCTTTTTTTATGATAAAAAACTTGCTTAATCTATGTTAAAAGAAATAAAAACTGTGCTTCAAGTTAATATTTTTCTGTGGTTCTGTGGTAATGATGTAAGCCAAGCCTATTCTGATCAGCTTGCTGCTGTTCAAGATCTGTACAAGTAAAACCATACATTAACTGATACTAACATTCTTAATATTCATATCTTATTACTATGCTACTGTTGTTTAGCAGGTAAATCTTTTTAGTTGTGAAATTTTAGAAGTTTGTACTTCTTTAAGTAGTAATTATCTCTATGCAAATCTTACGTGCTAATTTTGTATTTCAATTTCACTGCTGTTATACCTGTAATTAAAAAACAAATGTATTCAACTTTACTTGATGTTACTCCTGTGAAAAATATCTATTTTCCTTTTACAGTAAATTACCAGAATTCAGGTAGGTCATTTTAGAGAGACAAAGCTCTCAAAGAAACCACCTGATGAAGATTGTTTTGTACCCCTGTGGCCTGTTTTTTACTGGATGAAGGAATCAAGCCTTTACCTTCTTAGTGCATCTTTGAAGTTACACCCACCTTTTGCTTTGTAGAGAGGTGTACTGAGTTTAAGTGACAAGGGCGTGGTAGCAAGGGGGACTGCAAGAGCTGCCCCTGTGTCAGAGCCAGTTCCAACAGACCTACCATGGGACACAGCTAAGCCTGTCAGCCAAGCTGGTGCCTCCCCTCTATAATGTATTTAACAAGGGGTAAAAAATGCTGTGGGAGATGAGTGAGGAACAGTCCTGCAGAGAGCTAGGCCTATAAAGGAGCAGGAGGAGGTACTCCAGGTGCTGGAGCAGACATTCCCTGCAGCCTGTACAAGTTAATGCATGCATTAAATGTCAATACTAACACTCTTGCTATTAACATCTTACTACTATGCTGCTGTTCAGCAGTTACATCTTTTTAGAGCATGGTGAGGCAGGCTGTCCCCCTGCAACCCATGGTAGAACATGCTGGAGCAGATACCCACACTGCAGCCTGGGGAGGACCCCACACAGAGCAGGTGGATGCATGAGCCCTGAAGGAAGCAGCGGCACTGTGAGCCCATGTGGGACCAGGTTTCTTGGAGGAACTGTTGCCCATGGGGGACCAGTGCTGGAATAGTCAGTTCCTGAAGGACTGCCCAGCATAGGAGGATGGATGGCAGCTGATCAGAGACTGTATCTATCCCATGAAGTGGACCCCGTGCTGGAGTAGGGCAACAGTGTGAGGAGGAAGGAAGCAGCAGAGGGGAAATGTTGCTGACTATGACCTGACCCTCAAGTGACCATCCCCCATCCTTCTGCACCATTGTGGGAGAGAAGGTAGAAGAGTGAAGTTGGATCTGGGAAGAGAGAGGAGGTTGGGGGAAAGTGGTTTTATATGTGTTGCTATCCTACTTTATTTTTAATTGGTAATAAATTAAGTTAATTTTCCCAAGGCCAGTTTATTTTGCCTGTTATGGGAATCAGTGAGTAAAATCCCTGTCTCAACCCATGAGTTTTCTCATCTTATTTTCTCCTGGCCTGCTGAGGGGAGGGTGTCAGAGAGCAATTTGGTGGGCACCCAGCAGCCAGCCAGGGTTAACCTACAATAGGTTTATTCGTCTACAAACTTCCACTACTAAACGTAAGAAAAATGGGCCATTTAACCAGCTGAAGGTCAGCATTTCTTTATGGAATTCCAGCTTGTCACTCCTCTCGCTTTGCATATCCAGCTTACATGGCTGATGTAGGATTACCGCCTTCACCATTTGTGTATCATCAAGTTTTCTGGATCTGGTTCTCATCCTATGCAAAACTAATTGCCTCAGAATAACAGCAACAATACTGAATCTTCCATGCTACCAATTTAAAAGATACTTTCCTGTAGGGCATACTTGCAAAACTGCTTGAATCAAGTCACATTTCTGAATATAATTTTTCACGATCACATTTGTCAACCCAAGTAAGCTAATTTTTCATCTGTGTTTTAGTCCAAAGCAACCAATTTAAATAGTTTTAGACCTGAAGTGTCTGTAAGCTACAGGTTGAGACACACTGTTAAATAAAAAGAAATACCAAAATTCATAATCTAGCTGGAACCTGTACACAGGAGGTCCTTCTTTTCATTACAAACTGAAGGGAAAAGTTGTCTGTGGTAATAATGATACTATAAAAGACGATGGTTAAATTGTGTAGCGTGGTAAGCTGGCTTCAACCAAAAGAAAGAGAGCCTCCAAGTACAGAAAAAAAAAGCTACAGACAGAAGTTATTGTCTCATTTTAGTTTTCTGCCCTAGAGCTGAAAACTGTTGAAGTACTCTAGTGGGCAGTGAGATGAATGTCAGCTTATTGTGAATTGGATAAGTCATTCCAGTGTTTAACGCAGAAAACTGAGGAGCTTTCTCATACCACTCTGAAGGATAACAACTTGCTCTTGCAGAGTGTTCTGTTTATCAGGGAGCACCTGACTTAAGTAAACTCAAGGAGCATCCTACTGGAGAGTGCTAAGAAAAGGCTCTACAAAAGCCCACAGCTGGAGACTGAAGCCAGCCAAACCACAGACACAAGGCACCTAAAAAAAAAAGTCGAGGACTACCCCATCCCCACAGAAAAAAACAACATCCCCAGATAAACCATGCATGGTTACTTAAGTTGACCTGCATACCTACTGGCTTTGAAACTTGTGTTTGTTCCAGTCTTAGAGTGCATGCATTGTTCCTTTTCAGATTAACTACTGCTCATTTTTAAGACTGATTCTTGCAGCTTTCTGAAAGTGAATTCTTAAAAAAACCCTTTTGTTAATGGCCCATGATTCTTGACACCCTGCTTGAAATAGAGGTAGCAGGACTGGACCTTCCTAAACTGGCCTGTACTTCCTGCTCAAGATAGAACTTGACACTTGGTGTGTTCTCAAGCTGCACCCACAGCTCTGACATAAGCATTGCATGCTGCAGCCCAACAGTGAACAGGGAGCCTGGCTAATTTCTAGGACCAATTCTAGGACCTCCAAGACTGGAACAGATTTTCATGAATATTGAGAATGAATGTTCTGTTTTCAAAATGGAAGTTGTGGTTATGTAAATTGATACTAAGACAAGAGTTTTGTGACAGAACATTGGTAAGAAGACGTGCAAGATCAGTAAACCTTTTTCCACCAAGACTGCATATCAAGTTTAAGGTGGGTCACCCTGCAGGCTCATTCCAGATAATTACCAAAAATCAGATTAGGTTTAGCTCTCAAGGGAAAAAAGTACTGAACAGCTTTGCCATGCAGGCTAACTCATCATTAGCTCTGTCCCATATGCTGCAATTCGCTCTGTATAGACTTGTTAGATCTTGTTTGTTTGATTAGTGTTTTTCCAGCTTGCTTGCAACCCAGCCTAGATTAACAGGCAGTAAAGACAGGTCTTGCTCTTGCAGAACTCAGTGTGTGATAGCTGAAATTCTCCTGTTCGTTGCACCTATCCCAACACTTTCTTTCTTCAAATGCATACTTCTACTTGACAGGCAACTTTGAAAGTATGGCGACACACTTTAATGATGCATTAGATTGTATAACCACAACATGTACAGGCCTCCTTTGCTTAAATTGATAAAATGCTTTGCTGAAATTGGTAAAATCCTTAGTATTCAAAGAGCTTCAGAAATACGTATGTTAATAAAGAACATAATAAATTTTCAAAGCCACCTAAAGTCAGAGAAGAACAAAATAGTAAAAGCAATTTAGAAGAGGTTGTGGATGTAAATTGTTTCAGATGAATACAGGAAAACTCTAATCAGCCATCTGTTTACTGCCCCCACTAAGAATAAATGATTTTTCTGCTCCCTGCCCTTCTATCCTTAAAATTATTATCTGCTTGCATTTTTTACTCTTCACACAATGCTGTTTTATGAGAAATAAACAGTAGCAGAAGATTAGACTGCTTGTAATCAATGAGGAAGCAGATGGACACAGAACCAGCAAAATTTTCCATCCTGTTTTTCTATTTGTGATCAGCAATAAATCTACTCTCAACCATCAATTTTGCAAAGAATACTTAGCTTTGCTACCAGTGACTCTTCCATATCTTATTTAAAGAACCACCTTCCTCTCCAGAAAACCATTAGGGCCCCCATTTTAACTTTTCTCAACTCAGATGACTCTGACATTCCTTGGCCATCATGCTTATCTTCCACACAGCTCTAACTCTAGCTGTCTTAACACTAGCATCACTTAGCAGTATTTCTACCCCAAGCTCAAATAAAACATTAGTGCAATGAATAAGAACAACTCAAATATGCCTTTAATCATGCTAAAAATCAAGTTTCACTAATCACGTTTTGCTTTTATTTACAAAGACAGAAATTTGCAACAAACCAGACATACCTCATAATTAAATTATTTAAGAAGGGTTAAATCCTGAGACAGCAAAAGTTATTGCTTCACTGAAGTTTCAGAAATTGCCAACAGGCATTTTTGTATTTTTGGCTCCCAGTATGAATTCTTCACACAGCACTATTTCAAAGCTTTAAATCAGGCAAAACACAAAAATGAAAACTGAGGAAGACAGTAAGTACCAGTGCAGCCTTAGTTAAATAGCTGTGCATCAGCTAGAGAGTACAGTACAAGACATTTGTTGAGATTCAAGACACAAGAGTTTTAGTTCATAACTCTGATTTTCAAATCACTAATAGCACTTTTAAATAATATAGGGATTGTAGTTTCAAATCAGATACAATCAAGTGAGTGATGATTAATGCACATTAATGTAGAAACCTACTGGTTTTTAGTGATAACCAGTTCATTATGATTACAGTAATTAAACCTCTTACTCTAGTCCATGAGTCAGTTGACAATCTTTGCGAATGTCCCTTGCAACAAATGAAACTGGTTGTTGCCACTATCATGCACAATTACAGAAAAATTTGAAGGAAAAATACCCAACGGGAGAGCTGTCATCCATCACAGCTCACACAAATTAACCGTCACATAGTTTTCTTTCATGTGCCCTGTAAACTTACCAGTACTATCATGTTTTTACTTGAAATGATGATGCATGCACAAAATCTGCTTTGCATGACATTAGGTAATACTCATGCAATGAACAAAACACTGTAAAATTTGTAGTGTGGTATTGATGTAGCCAAATGTTTTATATATAGTTTGGAAAAAGAAAGTAAGTTTCTTCAGATACACAGAGTTCTTTGAATTTCAGAAATTACCATTAATTATTAACGACTAAAAAAACCCAAAAAACCTGGTATAAAAAAAAAGATGTCAGTAGCTTCTGATTTCAAAGCTTGTCAATTAAAATCGGAAGATACTCTAAATCACTCATAGTCATTTATAAAACCCATCCTGTGAAAATAAGAGAAATCCAGAAATATTAGACATCTTTTTAAGATTACTCTTTTAGGTATTTTTCCTTATGGAAAGCAAACCTTATTTTAAGAAACAGTTAAAGGTATTAGCAAAGTGCAATAATGTCACACTACCGAAAGTCTCTCCAGAGGAGATACCAAAATAAGCCAATTCTAATAAATTGGAAGGTAACTTTAAATTTAGAGTAGATTAATTATAAGACATCCACATAAAGGAGTGAGCACTTACATATGAAAGAGCAAGTCACATGCTCATGTGCTGAGACTGAAAGATCCCAATAGGAACAAAAACACAAGATGATAATTAGGTCGAACTTACCCACTCAAGCTGTAACAGTGAGGAGACAGAAAAAATGGTAGGAACTAAGTTTTTTAACAGAAACATGTAATTTGGATGGATGGATGGATGGATACATAGACAGATAGACAGACAGACAGATAGACAGATAATTACCACATTCCACATAGGACTGATTTTTCTGCATTGTGCATTTGCTAAGGAGTGGGAATGCAACCTGCACAAGCGCTTAGCTTTCAGTGACTTCATCCAGTGACAAAAGCAATGTTTAGGACTTTGCCACCTCTGTCGCCCCACCAAGGGAACAAGCATCTTTTAGCTGAAGATCTGAGTTGAATAGGACGGATAGGATTGGTAGGTGATACTCCATATATAGGTGAAGTACACTTATATTTCACATAGCATCAGAATAATTCCATGAAGCCTTCCCATTACAGCTGCCACTAAGTGCAGTTTTCATTTTAAAAAACCCACTAGTCAAACTGCCACTTCAGTGGAAGAACCAAGGTGAACTGCATTCACATTGACACAAGTACCATTATATATATCCCCAAGAGAGCAGTAGTCTTTAAACAGTCAAACTGCCAAAGAAACACCATTTGTTGCTGAAGTACTTTAAATTCTTGTTGAAGTCTCTGGCATCTTGTTAGAAAGTGCTTGCCACAACTGTTTTCTGCATCAGAGATAGCCCTACTTGCCCTGCAGCATTGCTGTCAAAAGACAAAAAGGTCGTAAGTGCAGGACCAACCAGAAGAAAACGTCCAGTTTGGAAACCTCTCCAGTAAGGCATAGAGTTGAGGTGACTTTTGATCTTCCCCAAAAAAGTAATGTGCTGCTATGGCGAGGGAGACTATTCCATCAGAATGCTTTTCTGGGGTCTGAAAGTGAGAAAAGGACAACACAGCCTTTACGATTGTTTATGGCTTTTAAATGTAAGGTCAATCCAGATGCACTTTTCTACAGGCAGTATCTATGCAACAAACTTCATCTTGCAGTTCTTAGTCCTATATGTTAAAATACTTCCTATCTGCAACATATCAATCTGATTACATGATGAGTTCAATTTGAAATGAACTGGCAACTAGATATTTAGATCACAGTGTCTCTGACATGTGTCACAACTTTGAGTGCTCCAACTTCAATGTTTGTATCTGTCTGTTTTGCTGACAAATCAAGATATGGACTCCAACACACTATTTATACTGATCTTTCTACTGTCAGTCCTGAGGATGTACAGCCTTCTCTGCACAGCTTTGCCACTATCAGCCTTGCAAAGCTTGTCACACTCAAGACTCATGTCTGCCTTTACTGAGTACCCTCAGAGGGACTATTTGGCAAGTGTTTAGACTGCCTGATGCAGGAAGGAAAAAGGGACTTTCTGAACTTTCAAAGATTATTTTAGTATTTACTCAAAGACCATGAAGACCAGGAAAATATTCTCCCCTTAGTTGTTGGGCAAGTTAGTGGACTACTCATTGAAAATACATGTGAGCTGACATATAAAGATGACATACTAAAGGGGGGACACTAGAATTAAGGTCTATCAAATAAAGCGAAGCTTTAGGAAGTCATTATGACATTTTTCACATAGAAATGCAGCAGTGGTGACAGGAGGGCAGACCAAGGCATCACTGGGTTTCCAGCAGCCACATACTCACCGTCAGCTCTACCCAGAAGTGCCAGGGTGCAGCCTGCAGCCCATGGGAGTAAAACACAAAGTAGTCTCCTCCTATGCTAGCAACCGGTGTGCCATCCCCGAGAGACCAGCTGGACAGAGCCGACCCTTCGTGTGGCCGAACGTACAGAGACATGTGACTTGGGCCTGCAGAGACAGAGATACATGTCTGGATGTATCAGCACATAGAAGCAGAATAACCACCTCTTCTCCTACATAACAGCACGTTATCTGTGTGTTACTACTCATGTCTTTCAAAATATGATACAACTGTCTTCTCTACAGAAGAAGCTTCAATTTTTTATAATCATTGAGATAAAGGAGATGATGATGGAGCAGAAGAATATAAGACTATATGTAATATAAATATAATACAGTCCTATAGTGTGTATATATATGTGTGTGTGTGTGTATGTGTGTGTATATGTATATATGTATGTGTGTGTGTGTATATACACACTACATATACTAATAGAGAGCTATAAAATGGACTTTTAGAAAGGACCTGCTGTAAAACAATCAAGACTTACTCATGACAGACAAGGTCATTATTCCCAGAAATAAGAACTGCAACACAACACCCAGAGGTTCCAGTGTGTTAGGAAGCTGAATTAATTCATGTTAATCTCACAAAGCTCACTATCTTGGGAATGGCACTAAAACCTGCAGTACTGCAATCAAAGCCTGATCTATTATGAGCATAAAAATAAACACAAATCATAGACCAGAAGCTTCAGTCACTCACCAGATACTTCAAAGCTTAACCTCACAGAGTTCAAGGGCATCAGCTCCTTGGACAGAACTTTAAATTGAATGGGGCTTCTTGGCAAAATTTCTGGAGCAGGAAGATACCAGTTTTTCCTGCAGACAAAAAAAAAAGTTTCAAGTTATTCTCAGTGCAACACCCTGAGGTACTAAACATCAGAAACCAACTATATACTGTATAGTATAGCTGCCTGTGCTGCTACTAAATGAAATATTCGAAAGCTACTGATTCTAGCAGAAGGCAGATAAAATCAGCAGCTTGTGGCCAGACAAATATTTAAAGGGTGTATTAATAGGAAAACAGTCACCAGTGTATTCATTCATTACCTTAATTTACCTTAATTTACAAAACAAATAAGAAAGAATATTTGCACCTTCAAACTGCTACACTTTCACTCACAAGATTCTTGGGGTATGAGAAATAGTCACAGCAGCTGGTTTTCTTCTGTGGAGACCTGGTACTCTAAACATCCTCTGTTGCCAGCTGGGGTGAAGGGGGCAAGAAGGGAGGAGACATACATACTCCTACTGTGAACTGCCCTTCAGAAGGCACCCCTTCACCTTTTTTTCCATTGTTGCTTACATCCATTTTCCACAAGTCAACTTCTACAGCTCCTGCAGCAGACCCAGTAATTTCTTGCAGACTCTGTCAGAAGACACTGCACCTAAGCAGAAGTCTGCCTTCTGAAGAGGAAGAATTATTTACTTTTAGACTGAGATTAGCCTTGCTTTTTCTTCCCTTACACAAGCAAGATTGCATAAACAACCAAAGTGCTTTGCAGTTAAGTGCTCAGGTGAAGCAGAGTTCACACCAACCGGAACATGAAATGCACTGGCAGAATCCAAGGAAGGCCACAGAAGGGAGCCTGCTCCTCGCATGGAGTTCTAATAGTGTCATTAATTTCAGGTACGTGGGGAGTTATGTGAGATATTCCATTATAATCAAATCCATTAATCCATATACCAGCATCACTTTTAACCACATTTCCATCTAGATCATGAAATCTTCTGTTTGTGTGCTAGAAGAAAAAAAAAACAAAAGCAATATGATGGAGCCTGCAGCATCTGCAAGAGTCAGAGGTAACTTTGAAATATCCTCTGTGTCAATCCTTAAGGTCTACTGCATTTTCAGTATGCACTGAGAACATATCTAAGTATTTATGAATATAAATACAAGAATTACTCAGATCAAAAACATACCATGAAAACACATTCAGAATGTATTAGCTCACCTCCCATGACTTTTTAAATTACCACTGTTCACTCAATTCTCCTACTTAACACCCCCTAAAATACCCTGCTTTTCTGACGGGGTTGAACCGAACACTTAGACTGAATAAGAGAAACTTAACAGCAATTCTTTCAAATCCAGGAATAATCATTAGAGCTTTTAAATCAAGCAAGAAAGGAAAGGTTACTTTTTTCCTGGGGTGGAAGAAGTGGGGGAAGTTAAAGTTTGAAGTTAAGTTTGAAAAAAACAAACACTCTTGCAACCAACAGAGGCAATACGACATGGAAAGCTTTTCTTACCTGGAGAAAGACTCGCTTAGGTTTTGGATTAGCTGCATCTGAACTGTAAGGAAAGAAGATTCCACTACAAACGAGAATGAGAGTGACTACAAACACAGTAGTTAAAGTTACTAGCGTCGTTTTTGTACTTTTGACAAGGTAAATGAAGTTAACCTAGAGAATAAAAAAAACAGCCCAGTTATAAAACTGCAAGACTTAAGACACTACTTGTATAACTCTAAAATTCAACTATGGAACTGAAAGTACATTAAAAAAAATAGTTGCAGGTATCACTCTACTTCTTTGTAAACTCAGTATTTAAAAACAAGAGAAAAAAGTGAGTTACTTCCTGGAGCTTTCAAAAATTTCCAATTTTTAAAACACCTGCCAACAAAAAAACCCCAAACTAGAACCTTCCCAGGTTCTATGGCAGCACAAAAAAAACCCAAATCTGAGAATTCTTTTTGAAGTGTTGTGTATGTATTGTTCAGGCACAAACTACATCTAAATGAATGCCTGCTCAAAATTCACCATCACATTTCATATATTACACCAATCTTTACTACATCATCATATAGCAATGTAAGCCCTGCTTTAATGACTAACACAAAATGTGGAATCTTTGACGTGTTTTGGAGAACCTTCCTGTAAGATTTAAGATACTGTCTAATTATCATTAACTTCTAGTACTAATTAAGAAAAATTTCTTATTCTAAACTCTAGAGAAAGTTTAAAGGTTTTAAACAACATTTACAAATTCTACTTACAAAATAGGATGACAGTATCATAGTGAAGACCACAATAAATCCTGCCAATACCATATCTGGTGGAATTTCTGAACCACTTCGTCCCATGACAGGTGTAAACATTTCAAATACAGTCCAGCTAAGATACAGCATATATAGATAGGGAACAAACATCCCCAGCATGTACATCACAATAAACTTCATTGTGGCACCTACAGGGGACAGAAAAAAGACAAAAAGAAGTAAAAGCTCAAAAGGCCACAAACATACAGCTTTACTGATATATCCATATACTGCTGCAAGGCCCAACATGCAGTACTGATCCTCATCCCGACATGGATATAGAAAGAAAATCTCATTTTGTATAGCAAATGCCAATATAACATTCAAAACCATCACAAAACTTTTCTTGTATTACAAAAAAAAAATTAAAAAGATCTCCACATACTGTTCTATTAGCCTGAGACACAGGATGTTTTTCAGTGTATTTTTTAAAAAAAAGCTTCTCACACTTTAAAACTGTCTTTAGTTCAAGAACACTTTTTCTCATTACAAAATTGTGACAGTTAATTTGACTATTCAAATTCAACATCTGGATTTTCTTTAGCTTGAATAGGAGAGTAGGGGCAGAGGTTTTGAAATACAACCTATGCCCCACAGAACTATACCTTTTTGGTGGAATTCCTTGTGGATCATCAGCTTAGTGAGTAAAGGAAATGCTACCCATAATGTACAAATGAATGCTGAACAAAGGCCCATCTGAGTCATCACAGCTAATGCTATAGACCAAATCATCAATGAAGCATCAAAAAAAATATCTCCCAGGTACTGCTCATTCATATTCTGTAACACAAAAAGCAAATACACTTCGTTATTGAGCACGTTCCATGGATCCCATCTCATCAGAACACACAGAAAAATCCTTATTTCTTGTATATAATTGTTTTCCCTGGGCAATTTCCTGTTGACTGTATTGACAAGCACCATCTCACCATTTTCTTACCATTTAGAGTTACCCATGTGTGGCACTAAACCTGCATTATATGAGAAAACTGTTGTTTAAACATGTCTTAAAATGGCTTTTGGTGATCTCTTTGCAAACACGTGTTTCTTCTTCCCAACACCCCCCACAGCAACTGTTATCTCCCATGCAGGAATGTCCTGGGAAGGTGTCCTGAGGTGTTTCCCATTGGACCTTGTTAACCCCTTCCTGTGATTGGGTGTTCCTGTAAGCCCCTTGAGACTTCTAATTGGTTAACCTGTGATTCTCCCTAGCCCTATAAATGTAACAACCCCCAACAATAAACTCTCTCTTGCCTCCTCTCCACGTCCAGTGTACTGTCTGTGCCTACCATGGGACCATGTGGGTGCTGGGGGGAGGGGAGGGCACCTCTCCCCTCCAGGCTCGGGACCTGAAACCCCTGAGGAAACCCCTGGAGTTCCCTTTCCCCGTCCCTCAAGACGTCGGAATGGTTCTTCAGATGGAGATGGAACTAGAACTGGGCTCCACCACGTCGTGGCTGGGGAAAGGGATCCAGACCCATGAGAGCATACTTTTTTTATTATTTTTTTAAATCTGCTGACATAGCTTGAAAAAGAAATTACCTGGGCTGGGGTGGAAGAAGGAAGGGAAGGTACAAATGACAATACAAGGAATACACAGGGCTAGTGTTTCAAGTACACAGGTAAAGAGGGCCTTTTAATAAAAAACATAATAACACAGCAAATTAAAAAGTTACATAGTACTTCCGTGTGACAGAGTTACCTACAGCTCCTGAGGATCTAAACTTGCTCTTGAACAGCAGCTGTTAACAGGCTTTTATATGAGCACTAATATTAGTGCACAAATACACTGGTGCCTTTACAAGTCATGCCACAAGGTGTCACTTCAGAAGCTTGCTTTTTAAAATATGTTACTTGTTTTGAATAAAAGATATGCATAGGTGAGATAATATCAGATAAGTTTCAAAAAAAGAAGGAAGTTTAACCATCAAAAATATGGTTTGTTTTGTTTTTTTGATTTTGTGAGGGTTTTTGTTTTGGTTTGGGGTTTTTTTGTTTGTTTTTTTTAAGTTACATGGGCAATGCTACAGTGTTTGCAGTGCAAGATTCCTAACTGGAAAACCTGCTAGTAGGAATAAGGAGTGCTTGCATGAACAATGGTTATCTGAAAGCACCTAGTTCAGTTTTGGGGTGAGGGAAAAAAATAGGAGGGAGGTGAAGAAACATATGAGTTGCCAAATGTATTTCAAAACATAAAGCTTTTTAATTCCCATGTTGCTGAGCCATGATCAGGCACTGCCTCTGACAGACAAGGAAGAGATAGGATTCCAAAATTTTTATGCAACTCTAAGTAAAATGCAAGTTACAGAGGCAGCATAAACTGTGCAGTGTAGTGCAATCTACAGCATGCAAGGTTTGTGACTTCAAGGTGGCTGATCTGATGACCAGGCAATCAGTAGGCATGAAATAAATCCAGCCCCTGGAATGTCTGAACAGATAGTTAAACTACCAGCCAGCTCATCCAAAAGACTAGAAAACATTGCATCTAGTTTATAAATGGCTCACCTTTACACAACGGGTCAACACCACGCATATGTATTTGGTAACATACATGTACCAGTTAACACTTCTCCTCCCCAAAAAAACTAAAAAAAACCCACTTCCAGAGAAAGACATGATGGATCCACCCAGAACTTCTCATACAATCAAATCTGACTAAGTTCTTAAAACTTTTTAAAACATTTGGATGAAGTTGGATTTGGCTGACAACTAAGGTTTTCCAAACTCCTTGTCCAAAGCTCAAACAAATGAGCAAGAAGTAACAGCAAGATGAATGATTCAATATTACTGCACCTAAATCCTGAACCTAGCATGCTTGAGTAGTCAACTTCTGCCCTGGAACAGTGTCATCTACCAGATATCTCAAGGTCCTATTTTTTTTTAATACAAAACCATTAAACCATCATCTAATAGGAATGTTATCAGCTACAATTATTAAATTATTATGCAAGTTAAATTGCATTGGTTAGTCATAAAAAAAGAATTCTAGGCAGAACAGTTAGACAGACTGTTCATGACAAATTACAGTAATGGAAAGGTAACACACACCAAATCCTCACCATCTTGCAGGGGCCTAAATGACCTTTACCTATTGTAGAAAAGAACACAGACAACCAGAGCTCTGTTCCATCTCCAGCTGTGGTCAAAACAACTATAAATCAGAATAGTCACAGAATTTTTTAGGTTGGAAAATACCTTTAAGATCATTTGAGTCCAATCTAAACCTGGCACAGCCAAGGCCACCACTAAACCATATTCTTAAGTGCCACATCTACAAGTCACCTCCAGGTAGGTGACTCAACCACTTCTCTGTGTCAGTGCTTGATAATCCTCTCAATAGAAATTTCTCCTAATATCCAACCTGAACCTTCCCTCACACACCTTGAGTCCATTTCTCTTGTTCTATCAGTAGCTGCCTGAGAGAAGAGGCTGACCCCCACCTGGCTATAACCTCCTTTCACAGGGAGCACTAGAATGTCCTTCTCGGAGCGAGTGGACCAAAACTGAACATAAGATTTGAGGTGCAGCCTCACCAGTGGTGGGTACAGAGAGACAATCACTACCCTGGTCCTGCTGGTCAAACTACTGATACAGGCCAGAATGCCATTGGCCTTCTTGGCCACCTGGGCACACCGCTGAATCATGTTCAGCTGCTGTTTAATCAACACCCCCAGGTCCTCTTCTGCTGGTCAACTTTCCAGCCACTCTGTTCCCAGCCTGTAGCACTGCCTGGGGTTGTTGTGACCCAAGGGCAGGACCCAGCACTTGGCTTTACTGAATCTCACACCGCTGGCCTCGGCCCATTGATCCAGCCTGTCCAGGTCTCTCTGCAGAGCCTTCAAGGGAAGAGTGACTACTCAAATTTTTACAAAAGCTTCATTTAGAAAGCTCTATGCAGCACAGATTACTGTATTAGAAGAGATCATGGCAGAGGTAGAAATTCCAACAAGATATAGGAAAAAAGTTCTTTCAAGAACCATCTGAAAAAAAAATCACATTATTTGCTTAGGGTTTTATGAATATAAATGACATCACCAAAATGACACGCATAATAAAAGGACAGACTTGCACAGAGAGAGCCGGAGTTCCATGTTTTGCAACAAAATACAAATGATAAATCAGATTAAAGAAAGCATTAAAATAACGGAAGAGACATAAGGAGGTACTGTACCAAAATAAATTATTAAATACAGGGAACTTGTATTCCAAGTATATTCAGAGGCAAGAATCTCGTAAGATTCAAAGAACATTTGAGCAGACGTGTAGATTCCATAATTATCAAGAACACTGAAAAGTATCAAAAATATTCCCCAGCTGTTCTTCTGGTCTCTTATCACTGAAATGATGACAAGAAGGAAGGTGCAGATAGGACAAGAAACAGTAGCTTATATTGTATTCTACTAGGCTTTTACTTTTTTTCTGAAGTTTCTCCTAAGGTCAAGGCCGCCTTAAATCACAAAGTTCTTACCTCTCTGATTTAGTAGAGCAATCCCTATGCTTAGATGAAGCAATTTTTAGTGACATTTTAAATACTCAAACTTTTTTCATCTTTTTAATCAACCCCAAAATTAAGTCTTCAACAGCTTAAACACTACATTGCCCTTCAACATTAACAGCAAAGTCAAGCCTACCTTGTAGAAGAACTTCTTGGCCAGCATATGCACAAGAATAAGCTTAGCTGCAGCTGCACTGCCATAGAGAGACACAGAAACATAGAAATGGGTGTACCAAGAAAGAGCCCGTCCAATGACAGAGACAAACACTGCCACGATAAGCACGGCCACCAGTGTGCAGACCCAACTCGTCAGTGTCAAGCCAAATGCAGTAAATAATTTCTTCAGGTTATGAATAGCTATGAAGAAAAAAAAGGTTTTATTCAACAGTCATGTATTCTACTGCAGACTATCATCAAAATTTCAGTTACCCCATAGTTTAATTGCTTTAATATTCAAAAGAAACCTGAATGAGGAGTCCACTCCGAAGACTTCTTAACAGCATGGTCTAAACCTCTCAGTCTATTTCTTTGCATGTCTTTTTGCAGTCTTCCCCACTGCAAGATTTATTCCCAGAATACTGGTGTATTTTGCAGATTACTGTGTTCCTGATAGTAAAAATATTACTAGGGAGTCAGGGGAACCACTCTACCATTTTTAAGTCTCAAAAACAACAAAAACAATTGAAAAACTGGAGTTGCTTTTCTTGTAACTTTTTCTTGCTCCAAAAATGTTTTCTGGATTTTGAGGGGGAGGTGGTGTCGGTGTGTTTTGATTTTTTTCTTTTTAAACAGGTATGTTCCTATACATATCTGAAAAGGTCTAACTAGAAAATTTAAGTTGGTTTACACCCTTTATTAAGCTTTGTTGTCATTTTCCCCATTTATTGTCTTCTTATTTACTTCTGCCTATGGACAGGTGTTAAAGAATGATTCTGAAACCGTGTCTGAACTAACAAAGCAAAAAACAGATACTAAGTAATTTTTTTTCAATTTTCAGATTTTTAAAAGATTTCATTTTAATCTTCATGAAATGATAAGACACAAAATTGTGATTCATAAATGCTAAAAATCTAGGCCTATCACATTCTTTATCACCGTAATTATTCACAGTTGAGATATTTAAACACAAAACAACTCCTGTGGCATGCTGCACAGCTAAAATTTATTTCTGAAGCTTGGCTAAAAAGATGCCATAATGGCCTGAACACTTTTCCATCTACACTTTTTCATCTACTAACTGCTATTCGTTAAAGAGTAATGTCATTGTTTTTTTTAAAAAAGCTAGACTTACCTCTGGTTTTTGACTGTAATACTTTTTTGCTTAAGTAAATAAAAGCAATTGCTGCTGTAATATAGTTCATGATTGTGCCAATGCGAGCAGGATAAGCCAGGACAAATAAACCAAGTATATCAAAGAACACAACATTTCCATGTCGATACTCAAAAGATTTAGCCAACTTTTCTGATGTTGCTAGGTATTTTAGGACAGCTAGAATATTGTCACCTATTAAAAAAGCAGATACACAGCATAATTACATCAGGGTAAATTAGTACACAGCATTTTTTTACTAGAACTGTTCTTAAAAATTGTATAGAAATATTCTCAACAAAGACATATACAACCGATTATTCTCAAAGTGGTATCTGACAGTACACACAGCACAGTATTTTCATGAGTAATCCATACAGCTGTCACTAAAATGAGGATATTTGGGAAGCTTCATGCACTTAAAGACCATTGCAATTAAGTCAGGTATTTAGCCCGTAAGTACTTCAGTTCTGATATTTAGCACTGGACTTCAAGGCTAACCCATAGAAAAGTTTATAGTTTCCTAATACTCCTCCTTTCCTCATGGTCTCTAAGTGACACCTCCACGTTTCAATGAGTACGAGTTATCTCCCTTTCTTTCCCTACACATCTGTAAGGTAGAAGACAAGGTGGCTATTTTCCTTTGTAGCCTACAGGCACTAATCACCTTTTCCTTTCCCACAGCACAGCCAAAACACATGTAATCAAACAACAACAATTCTTCTCAACTTTTATTTTGCTTTTAGTTGACCCTTAAAAGTGCTGAAATGTCTTTTTTTGTTATCTGCACTATGTTTAGCAGAAGATGTTCTACATAACCATCATGATCAGTAAAATCGTCTTCCCAACACAAATTTAGAAGTGTTACTTTCTGTCTTGTAGCTGCATTGTTGCAAGAAAGTATTTAAAACTCTTATTCATGCTGGTCATTCTAAGCTGGCTTCTATATAAGCTTAAAGAGGGAATGGTCAAAATCCTAGAGGTATTTAGGACTGTTAGCTTTTCCAGGGAAATTAAAAAGTCATACTGTATTTTCTTTACTTCAATCTGTCAAAAAGCCATCTATGAGCACAACCTGTTGTAGAAAATAAATCCTGTTTACTCAGTCTGTGTGCTACCATGTAAGTTTGACTGAGATACGTTCTAAAGGAGAAACCTCTGTTGGCAGATCAGTCTCTATGTCACCAACTTACCCACAAGCTTCTGATGAGAAACACAACCAATAAGGCTTAGTGAGAGAAAAGGAACACAGAATGCTGAACAATCAGGTATCAGTGTTCAGGTTAGATGACAACTCTGATTTGAAAGCAATCATGAAATCTAATTAACATCACTGGATGTTGATAAAGTTTATCTTCCCAAGTAGATCATATATATTTCTTTTGTATTTAAAAGATATATATTCAGTTAATTCTTTGTTCTTTAGAACATGTACTAAACATGTACTAAATGTGTCATTAAAATTATTAATTTCTTGTAATAACAGTTTTACAGCAAAATGACAAAGCAACTACAACACTATTCTTTAGGTAAATTACTGAATTCTTAAAATACCAACCTGCTCTCTGAATGGAATCTGTTAAAATTCTGTCTGATGTGTCATATTTTGTATGATAAATGTAGCCATTTTCAATAAAAGCCAAATCTATTCCTACAGAAAGAGGAAAAGCATTTTTAAATTTATGTAATTCTAAAACCCCCAAACAAACAAGTGAAAGTCTCACATACATTTCACAGAAAATGTTGCTCTACTTTGTAGCCCAGTCATTATACTTAAAGAAACAAAATAGTCTCCTCTGTGAAAAGAATACTAACTGAGATTTCGAGTGTATTATAAAGAGAACAGTTTCAAAACATTTTAAAATATCTGTCCTTTCTACTGTACCGATTTGCATGATATTTGTACACAGCTGGAGAAACACTTGAAAACTCCAAACCATCTCAGCTTCAGAAAAGATGTACAAGGTGCTTTTCAAATGTTTACTTGCAAAACTTCAATAAATATCTACACTGAAAAGTAATAAAAAGTAGCATTGTGGAACTATAGAAACACCTTCTCAACATGTGTGTTCCTTCTACTTCTATGTGTTAACAGGTTTTCATAGAGCCAGTCTGAAAACTCTTATTTTGAAAGTCCAAATAATTTGTTGAAGTGAACAAAAACATTTACCAAAAGCCAAAGGTTATTCTGCTAGATTAGTCATACATTCACTATATCCCAATCACCTTCTCAGCTGCACATGCAAAAAGCTGCTATCTGCAATCCGAATCTTCACAATTTTGTAGGGGTTTGACAAGTTAGACCTCAATTCTACTCGTGGACAAACAGGAAACAACTAGTTCTTTAACTCAATTATTTAATTTTTATTTCATTGTTAAAAAAAAAAACAACCAGAGGTCAGTGAGAATTCATTTACCATCCAGGTATCATTCTGAACAAATAAAGAACACATTGTACAAAATTATCTACTTTATTTCCAGGCTGGAAGCATACTTTAGAAGAGTTTAGAATATGCCAGAACAACAGTTTTGTTCTAACAATCAATTCAGAAATATCACTTTTCTTGAAAGTGACTCCAATGACAACCTGTCCCAGACAACAAGGATTTTACAGAATTTTACAGTCCTTTGAGTTGTGTTCATATTTCACATTGTGTGAACATTTCACATTTTTTCCCACTGGTCGTTCTCTGCAGAATGGATAGCAAACTGTAAACAGCTTAGCAAAACTAAAAGACTTCTGTCCAGTGCTTGATTATTAAAAAAAACCAAAAAACAAACAAACCCCAAAACCAAAGAGTAATGGAAATGCATTAATGACTAAGTCACTATCTTTAAAAAAGATGATTTTCATTTATCCATTTGATACAGACATGTCATTCCTACAAACAGGTTATTAGCATCATGTACCAAAATGTTTTAAAACAGATATTTAACAGAGTGCTGTTGATTTCTGGAGTATCTTCCTGATTTTCAGGAAACTTTTCTACCACATAGTTTCTTTCTAGAAAACATCAGTTCTCAAAAAACATCCCTAGCAAACCATATGAAAAACTAAATCAAAAAACTCGTGCCTTAGGAAAAAAGCAGGAAAATTTGCCCCCAGACAAACTAAATTTGAGGACCTTCACACAGTGAACCACAGAACAGTATCCTTTTCATAAGCTTAATGTGCATTGACATCTTTCATGATAACATACCTGGAACATTGCCAAAATCCCTGTAGATACGGAAGTCTGTATCCGCTGGGATAATACCACTCTGAAATATTTCCTGTGCCACCACAGAGGCAAAGGGATGTTTGGCTGCAACTACGTATGCTTGTACCAACCAAGGGTTCTCAGGTCCTAACAAAAGATGAGCAGAAAGTTCACAGTAAACACTTTTTGAATGTCAGTTAAGGTACGCACCTTCACGGTAACAAATACAGAACACAAAGGAACTCACTGCAGTTGTAAAGCTGTTGCCCCATAGGGTATAAAATAAGTACATTTGTGCTGGCTGAGTGACTCACACTTGAGAGAAATACACTTGAGGAGAAAGAAACAAGCCGCTGTTGTCTTACGTGTTTAAGAGGCAGAGCAGGAAAGCCATCTCCCAAAACAGAACTTCTTTCTCACAAAGAAGTCAAAACCTTTAGCTGAGCTTCCAATTCATTGTGTCTGTATCACACATCAATATCATTGTTTAGAAAAAAGTCTCTGCCTTAAAGCATTAAGTACAAAGAAACAACTAAGCAGCTCCAGCAGCACAGGAAAGTCTGCAGTCTGACCAGGATGGGGCACAAGTTTAACTGTAGCCTACAAAACACGGTTTTGCTGCTTCCTGAGCAGCAGATAGAGCTCTAATGGCAACATCTCCCTGCAAAGATTTTGAAAGAACTGCTGTGAAAAATAAATAGAGCATATGAAAGTATGTGTATGTAAGACATAGGTGGTATCCAAACGTTTTTCTGCTTGTAACCTTGACATAAAATGGAAACACAACTTCTGTACTCTGTTCTACACAAGTTTCCCACCTATGAGGCAACTTCTGTCGCAGTCCTTTAGCTTACCAGTATCTAAACCTAAAAGCAATTTAATTGCTGCACAGGGTTGGGAAAAATGCATGAGGTTCTCCTATCTTTTGCTGATGAGTCACTTTCAATACTCCTTCAAGTCTACATTGTTTATTATCAAATTATCCTTATGTAGAAACTGGACACAATGCAAGCTCATACCTGTTTGAAAAACAAGTTCTTTTCCTCCTACACCTGCTGCCTCCAGGTTAATAAAAGCTCTGATTGACTTGGCCCACTCATGTTGCGTAATGAAGCCATGACTAGCCTTGACGGGAAAACAAAAAAAATATAGGTCAAATATCTACGAGACCAGCCTAAATCTTATTTTCCATCACTCAAGATTGGATATGACTGAAGAAATAACTCAAGATTTGACAAGGCAGACAACACAAGCAGATGCAGAAAATCCAAGTCTTCTAATTAAACTAATGTAGACAACATTCTTAATCTAAGTGTATTTTTCCCATTGAAATCATACACATTTTCCTGAGAATGTTAAGACTGTTATTCAACTAATATTTCAATAGGTCAAACACAAGCCTTATCTGCAGTTACTCTTTCCTTTGTTAAGAGTTTTAATACACAGCTTTTATGTGTAATTTATAATTCTGACATATTCTCACCTGCAAAATATTTTCTTCTGCACCATTAAATAAGAATATGACAGCATGCTGCAGGGACTCTGATGATTTTGAAAGTGTGTTAAGTATTTCAAGCATCACTGCACAGCTAACAGCATCATCACTGGCACCTTAAAACAATCACCAAAATAGTAAGGCTTATAACAAACAGATTTGCATCAAAAACAAGAGAAGAATAAAGTTTTATGCTATTTCAATCACTTAACCTAACTGCAGTAAAATTATGTCAAGTTTCGTGTATTTTCTGGTAGTGTATATACTTATATAAACTATTCTGTTTATACTAGTTGAAAGTAACAGCAGAAAGAAAAATAATGTTCAGAAGTAGAGCAAGTGAAGTTCAAAATATCAGATCCAATGATATTGTTCAAGAAAAGTAGACTAACCAGGTTACTGGTTAGTGAGCAAAATGATTGTTACTTATTTTCCTAAGAACAACATGAATAAACAAGAATGTAATTTATACTAACAACATACTCAAACTTTAAAAAATAAACATTCCCACATAAGTCACCCTAAAGCATTCTCTACTGTTATAACGCATTCAAGTAAGAGGACAAAACCTCAAACTAACATAAAGCTAAGATTTCAAAATAGAGCTAAGGAAATACAAGAATTTACAACTTAAGTTATACATGATAATAAAAGATTTTCATGACCAGATGCTTTTCACCATCCTTCTTTCTTTCAGAAACCCCTTTCACTCTGAGCTCAGTAATCTGTCCTCTTTGAGTTCCTCATCTAACACTATTCTAGACTTACTCTCACTCTCTCACACCTCCTCCCATGCTCTGCCATTTTTTTAAATCTTGATTAAGGATTCATCTTCTAGCCAAAGTCTCCCATTTTCCCACTTTCCTCACTTTGGTGTAAGCTGCAGCACCTCCCTACCCCACTTTAATAAATAAAATTTTGGGAGAAAACAGAGAAATTAAACCTCATTCCTTCAGGCCTCAGTTGCATATATGATGCTGACGCGCTCTGAGATGACAACAACAGTGTGGTCAGGCCTCAGCATGCTATTAGGACACACTTGTTAGTTCCTAAAAATGTTCAATTTACACATTTAAAAAAAAAAAAGGCACCTTTAACAAAAGCTTGTAAAACTTAAGACACATTTGCCCCTTCCATGAAAAGGGTATATTCCTGATACAAACATAAATCTCAGTCTAAATTTTAACCTAAGCTTATTGCATGGATTAAAAAAAATTCAGAATCTTTCCAATACACCATTCTCTATTTCTCAGAAATTAATGCCTTGTTCTGCCAAAAGCTTTCCAAAAAGACTCCCATCCCAATACCTGGTTTAAAGCCCTGACTATCACAGATTTTCCTTAATTTCACAGAATATTCTCAGTTGGAAGGGACCTTTATATTGTTACCCAAGTTTATCAGTAGTCTACTCTTAGCCACACTGAGTTCTTATACCTAACATACTGTATTGAAAAATTGGAAGAGAAGTGAGTATAGTTTCCAAGTCATTTACCTGCCTCACTGTGAAGCTATGAAAAATAAAAGTTGCTGGCTTCAACAGACATACAAATTTATGTCTGATAAAAGCAGCCATGTAGCCATAGACTATTACACAAACTCATGGAGAAAGTATCTTCTCCAAATACTCTGTATATAGCAAAACTGACAGGAGGTTAAAACAGGTTTTATGGCAAAAATCAGCAACTTGAGAAAAGCACATCATCAGTTATGTCTGGAATGATAATTTCAGGGATGTTTCTGTCTTCAAGTTTATTAAAAAAGAAACAAATAGCCCATATAAACTGAAAATTAGTACCACTAGAACAAAGACACGTGTTTTAGGACTTAAGAGTTTACGTTTTTCCTTCACAAGGAACACAAGCTTTCTAACACTAATGGTTTACTGAGTTTTGTTTCACTCATTTTGTATGCAGCACATTATATTTTATGATCTGATTTTCAAGTATAGTATTAACTGACCAATAAGTAATGCTGCTTCTGGGTAAAAATCCAGTTTTGGTAAAGAAAAATGGCCTGTAAGCAAATAACTAAGAGAAATACAGAAGAATAGAAAACAAAGAGAAAACAATAGAAAACCTTGCTTAGGTTATGTGCAAGGGACACAGCAAGAAAATGAAAGACAGAGCACCTCCTCACTGTTGTAAAGGGCTAGGCTGCTTTGTGATTAAGGGCAAGCACACAGGCTGGTTTCTAGCTCCTCCGCAGATTTCTGTAAAATCCTATACAAGTCAGTAATATTTTTTGGTGCTTCTGTGCAAGGTTGGTGAAGTACTTTACTGTCTGAGTAACTGTTAAGAAAATAATTGATGTAGACATAATCCTGTCTTACAACCCATAGAAATGGACACACAGTTTACACAGGGCATGAATTTAAAGACCGTTTTCAATAATCATAGTATTATACTTGTGAAATATTCTTTCCAAGTTCCACATCCTGTAATTAGCATCTCTGCAATTTATAAATCACAGAGCACGTATAATAATCATGCGGTTATTAGGCTTAATTTGAAAACTCATGTCACCCAAATGTGGTTGAGGAGAAAAGGAAGTTCTGTATATTATTTGTTGAGAGAAAAAACACAGGAGGAGTACAGTAAATGCTTTGTTTCTCTAGCTAATACTCAACTGTTTTCTCAATAATGAAGACTATTTGTATGTGCTAAAGAACAGAAGGTCTACCGCCCAAAAATAAAATATTATGTGGCATATAAATTAACAAACTCCAGTAAAAGCTGCACTGTTGGTGAGATCTGTGGGTGTTTTTCGACTGTAATAATAGGCACACATGTGTGGCTGACTGTTACAATAAACTTTGTGCAATCTTTAGATCTCTACCTTTCTGGCACTGTTAAAAGCACGAACATACAAAGCTCGCTACACCCTTGCTGAAATAATTATTCAACAGGATTATAATATATAAGAATCTAGAGGAAGGAAAGTAAGAGAGGATGCAACAGTGACAGTGAAACTAGTAGCGAGAGATGTACACACTACCAAGGCAACAGTACCCTAACCTTTGATCACTACAGTCTTTAGAGGCAGAAGCTTTGAATGCAAAAAGGAAAAAAACTGGCACAGCTTAAGCATATCAGACAAAAAATCTGAGACACCAGCAATGGGAGGGGAAAATATGGACTTTTTAGTGGGGGTGGACAGAGTCACTGGCACAAAGCATCATGTGAAAGACAGGATTAGATCAGTACAGAAGTATGAAAAGACCTGAATGACAGGTGGAAGCAGCACATGAACTACATGCATAAGCAGAGAAATCTAAATACAGCATCTCTAATTTGCTGCCTAACAGAAAGTGAGAGTGAAATCCTGAGTTAAACAGGATCAACCTGTCACTCTAAACAATGAGCCTCACTGAGATCAAGTAGACCAGTTGACACATGCAGTATTCTAATACGGCTACTTGGTATGAGAAAACAAGCCAAGCTCTGTGGCTCACGTAACACATGGAAAAGCAGAATGAACACGTGGACCTACCAGGGGTATTTGGTACAGAATCAAAGTGGCAATTGGATAATACTGCATGCTCAGCTCCACTTCGAGGTTCCAGTTTCACTATAACATTGGTTATGTTTGCATAGTAACTAGTAAAGCCTCCTAAAAAGTCAATGCTGAAGGAGCCTGTGGGCCTCTGTATGTCTACAGATATCTTGTGAGCATCTGTACTTTCTCTTGCTATTCCCCTAATTTGTTCTAAGAGGTAGTTAACTGCAAGAACTTCATTTTCTGGACTTCCAACTGTTCTGGGCCCAATTGCTGTTATGTTGTCAAGGTATTCCCTGTAAGACATAAATTAAAAATTCAGCATCAACAAGTTCAACATTTAGTAATGTTATCTACAACTGCAGCATTTTTGTACATTATTCTATTTCAAAACTCAAGCAGAAGAGACTAAAGCCAATTCGACAGTAACTAGCCAGGATGTTCAGGATCACAATGGTAATGGGCATACAGACTGACCTTTACTCAGGGCTCCTTATCTTATCTATCACGATATTAAACCAAACTATTTGTTTTCTGGTTTGAACATATCAACCCAAAAAGAAGCAAAAGGGTAAATGAGAAGCCAAAGACTTTAGCGTGGTTCTGCATATGCATACATGCCCTTCCCCCAACGTCCGAATAAACACGTTTTCGTTAAGACTTACATCTGACATAAACACTCTAATTCTGAAATTACAGTATTAGAAAGTTTTATAGTTCCCGGCGTCTCGGTGACACACCAACTAAAGATCTGCAAAGCAGCTTTCCCAGAAACCGCGCACTACTCAAGACTACCAGAAATAAAGCATGGGGGACGCACTGCTTCATCAGCGCCAGCCAGCACCTTTACGGGGGCTGAAGCCTCCACGCTGTCTGCACCTTTCTGCCAGCGCTCAACCGAGCTTCGAGCTCTCTCCCGGGCAGAGCACGACACGACCCCCCCGACAGGGACCCGACCCAGCCCCGCCGCCCTCTCTTCCTCCCGCCGGCGGCTCCGCCGTACCTGGCGCGGGCGGCGCTGAAGTCGCGGGGCCCGGCGGCGGCGGGCGGGCTGCTCAGGAGCTGCCGGTGCGACACCTGCGCCAGCGCCCGCAGCACCAGCAGGTACAGCAGCACCAGCGGCGCCCCCCGCGCCTCGGGCAGCGGCAGCAGCGGCCGCCGCCGCGGCCCGCCCCGCTTCTTGCCGCCCGCGCCGCGCTCCCCGTCCTCCCGCGGCGGCGGCTGGCGGCGGTCGCGCTGTGCGGCGGTGGCGCGGAGCCGCCACACGGCCGTGTCCCCGCTGCGCTCCATGGCCGCGCTGTGCCCGCCGCGCAGCCGCGCCGTACGGGCACGGAACAGGGTCAAACCGCGGCCCGGCCCCCGCCCGGCGCGGCGGGGCGGCCCCCGCGCTCACGTGGGTGCGGGGCCGCGGCAGCGCCCGCCCTGCGGCCCGGCCGGGGCACGGCGGTGGCTGCGTCTGCGTCACACAACCACAGGGTGGGTCAGGCGGGAAGGGACCACAGTGGGTCATCTGGTCCAACCTCCCTGCTCAAGCAGGGTCATCCCAGAGCACATGGCAAAGGATTGCATACAAGTAGTTCTGGAGTATCTCCGATGAGGGAGACTCCACAACCTCTCTGGACAATCTGTTCCAGGGCACACTCACCCACACGGTAAAGAAGTTCCTGTGTATCAGTTTCTGCCCGTTGCCTCTTGTCTTATTGCTTGGCACCACTGAGAAGAGCCTGGATCCAGCTTCTGGACACACTCCCTTCAGTTACAGTCATTAATGACGTCACTCTCAGCCATCTCTTAAGGGTGTACTGGCCCAGCTCCCTCAGCCTTTCCTTGTAAGAGAAATGTTCAGTTCTTCAATCACTCTTCTTGCTCCTTGCTGGACCCGCTCCCGGAGCTTCACGTCTCATTCTGAGGAGCCCAGAACAGGCCAGTGTAACCTGGGCCTGAGTCCGGTGACACACTACAGCTGGGAAGCCCTCAGTGGTGGTCACCTGTGGAGCGTGGTGGCCTGGCAGCAGTGGAGCCCTGAGCCCTCTGTCCCACCGAAGCACTGGGATGAGCAGCCACCTGGCCCTGCTCCTGACTGAGGAGCGCCCCACGCATTGTGTGGTGCATCGCCTCTCTTGCAAAGCATGCAAGGCTTTTCCTGGTTTCACAGCTTTTTTTGGTTGTTTATTGGTTTGTTTGTTTTGGTTTTTGTTAAAACAGAGAAGAAAGTTCATGAAAGTAGTGGCAGTGCCACGTGGCTGAGCGGCAGAGTGCCACAGGCCAGCATACCAGGTGGGAGGGGTGGTGAAGCCTCACAGACATAAGTCACAGCATTGGCAGTGCTCACAGAGTTCCCCCTCCACTGCATTGTATCCTTGGCATTGCATAGCTATAGCACTCCCCAGAATGGAGCTCAGGTAGCCTGGGGTGAAGGGCAATAGCTCCAGGAGGTGCTAGTTAATGGCTGCTTCCAGTGAACTCGTGGCAAGGAGAGCACCTGGGAGGATGGAGGCCCAAGATGTGACACAGACTGTCATCACTCACATGGCTCTCCATACTCTGCGAGGGTGCACGCTGCTGCCTGCTCTCACACTGCCTCTGAATGACGGAACAGAGCTGTTCAGTGGTCGTTTTTCCTATCTTTATCGTACTGATTTGCAACGTACTTTGCTACTCCTGAGGATGTCCTAAAAGATACTTGTTTCTTGTTGCTCTGTGACATAATGAGGAAATTACGAAATATGTAATGGCACGATCCAGAGAAATGGCTGATCCAATAAATCCAGTGATGCAGATGAACACTGAACATTTCTGCTTTCTAGCATACCCCTGTGTTGCCAAATGAAAGCTCACAGGAGTTGCAATACTCTTTGGAATGAAAAAGTCTGAAAGAGTGGTACACTGAAATGTGGTGACTATGCTCTTTGCACACCTCAGGTGCTTTAGTAAATTTCCATACTCAGGCTTAGTGAGTTTTCTCATTTGCTTCACGCGCCCTCAGTACACACAAGATTATTGCCGACAATTTATGATTTACAGCTTCTATGATCCCAAAACATACGTCTAGGCTGAGATTTGATTTATTCTGTTTTGTTCAGTTTTTTTTCCTCTCTGCTTTTGTTTCACTTACCTGTGTTACCTCTCTCTTCACAAACAGACAAACATACCTCCAGATTAGGTTCTCAAAAGTAGATTTTACATTAGAAACCAATATAAAAAATTTCTTTCTAAATGTTTTCTTAAAACTACAAGCGCATAATTACTCCAGCAAAATGCTTGCAACACAAATAATAATAAAAAAAAAGTCAAATGTAACCCCCCCCAAATATAATGGAATGGAAACTGCCTTTTGAAAATGTCATACTAATAATAGGTAGGATATTAAAGTAGTATTACTAATATACATAAGAAAATACATTTTTAAAAAACAATGTGGCCTGATATTGAGTGTAGATCTCTATTTCTCCTTTAAAATTCTTCTTAGGTTTGAAGCTGTATAGAGAAGGCAATCAAAGAATCAAATATGGACTTTCATATTTGATTTCTTGTATCATATCAGTGCTAATGTACTGGGGGCCACCACTCCTGAAACACTCACATAAGCAGCTTTATGCAAGGACATTTGCTCTCCAGCAACACATGTTGCTCCATATCAATTTGACTATGCCTACATTATTGATCTGAAGGAAAATGCACAAATTGAGAAAATAGGAGCTACATATCATTTATTTCTTTTGGCTCTATGTTTACTTGAGGATTGGAACTGTAGAATAATTCCATCCTTTTCTAAGTGGTCTTTTTCCTTTAATTCTTTGGGCAACATTTGAAAATTAAATCCTCCCTCAGTTAAGGGAGGATAAGACCTGACTAAACTGATTTTGTGACAGTCATACTCTACAGGTCAAAACAACTTTTAATATTCTGTCAACTCAAAATTCAGAAGTAATCTTCTGCTTTAGATCAGAAAGACTTCTGATGTTTGTAACACCGACAGCCCTTTTATCATCTGTTCTGAGCACAGCATTTGGGAGGGCACTGTGTGATATGAATTAAGCTGGAATTATAGTGCATACATGTTTTGACATGACTGGGACATCAGGGTCAAATACATCAACACAGTGCCCTTTATTGCTCTGTTAGTCTGGAATGACCAATTTAAGATAATTGGATCTAATTTCCAAACAAATTATTCAGCATAAATTCAGTTTGACTTTATGTCAAAAAGACTGATGTTTAACCTCGTGTCTTCCAATCCAAGCTGGTTCATTTTGTCAGCTCACAAAAGAGGAAAATCCCTTGTTCACTGAGCATAAATTATACTTGTAAACCTTGTTTTAAGCAGAAAAAGTTAAAAGGCAAATCCTCATCCACAGGAACTATGGGCCTGGTTTGTTTTCTAATTTAGTAGCAAAACCAAGTTAAGCGATAGCAGGTTAACATTCTTGCTTAACAGAAAAATACAAATGTGTTTATATGTTAAAACCACAATCAGCTATTTAGGGTAAGAACTAGAACAATATCTTCAGAAAGCACTTCATTTTGATTAAAAATAAACAGTGATGAAGCATGCACCAAATAATTTGCAAATTGTTCTCATTCAAATTGTTCTCATTCAAATTTGACTTATTTGTGGTACTAATTTTGTAGCTTCAGTTTTCCATCCATTGAATCCTCTTACATCATTGACTGGTAAATTGAAAATCCCTTTGTTAGAAGATTTCTGGTCTGGTGTAGGTATTAATACATCATGATCAAGACTGCTCTTACATTCATCTTCAAGCCTGAACTTTATAAACTGTTACTTTTCCAGTCCATTCATCCTCCTAGTAACCATTCTGATGATTTCTAGTTTTTCTGTAACTCTTCTGCATTGCTAAACCAAAATGACGTGTAGTATTCCAGTGTCTACACCAGTGCCAAATACAAAGGTAAAATAATTGCTACACTGCAGGGAGATAGAGCTATTTATTTCCTTTAACATAAGCATGCTGCCACAGTTTTGAAGCAACAGTACTCTCCAGCTTTCTCTCGAATCTTTCTGTCACTGCAGCATGTTCTAGCCACCCATTCAGTGGCCCATAGCCTCTCTAACAGACAAGCTCTTGGTGAAATTTGAGTTCAGCAGGAAGCAAGAAACCCTGTGAAGAGAAGAAACCAGATTTTACATCCTGAGTTTCCAGGGCGTAGTGTATCAGCCTTTCCTATGAACACCTTGAAAATCTTGCTTCCCTGCACTGAAGGTGATGATGGACCACCGAGCATCTGAGCCTTCCTACTACAGTGGAGCTAGATCTTCACTCCTGCCTCAGGCACAGATCTATCATCTCTTCAATCATATACCCATCAGTCACTTCACTCCTATAGCCACAGTGTTGTAACTGGAAACTCATATTGAACCAATTTTCTACCCTGTCTTTAAAGTGGTTTTTTTTGTCATTACTACCAACAGTCCAGTTCCCATCCCTTAACTGTGGCCCAGCTCTCATTCTGTGTTCTACAAGCTTGGAAATGTTTGCCTTGAAAACTTGGTAAGCATTCAGTATTGCTCTGAGTCAACAGGTATTCTTCATTATCTGTCGCTATCCTAGTCTTACAAATGAAATCAGGAGGAATATTGTAAGACCTCAGTGCAGGAATCCACTATTATAAAAATACAGGACAGCTTTGTGTAGCCTGTATTCAGTTCAGATACAAGCAGCTGTTCGCTCGGAGAACTCTTCTGTGCAGGCACACTCATGCTATCAAGCAAGTTTGTGTTTCTTCTTGGACTTTGTTGCCTCACTTTATCTTAACTCCACAATATGGCATCTGTATTGTGGCATTGCATGTGGTAATCTAGTTTAAGAAAATAGCACAGGGAGTCTAATGAGCTTTTATCCCTTGATGTCTCTGCTCTCACCTGAATCCTTATAAAAATCCTTCCCAGACATCAACCACAGGACATTTAGGGCTTATTTAGCCAAACACATCCATCTCTTACCTAAGGTACAAGGACAGGAAATGCCTCATTGACACTCCAGACATACCCAAGAATTGGGCATTTTCACCTTCATCCTGTAATTAAAGCAGAATGATTAAACCCTGGTCACTCATTTCAGAACAGGAAGTGGAAGAAGAACCACCCACAGATTCGAGATTGATAGGGCACAGAGAGACTGTTTGCATCAGACATGCTGTTTTGATAAACTTAAGCAGTGCTTTTCCCTCTTCCCTGTTTAGCAATACTCATTTTCTGTGCTCCTTCTCCTTCTGACCTTGTTATTTTGTATTGGGAGCTATAATCACAACCAAGAATTACACAGAAAATATGAACTGATTAGTTCTTGTCGAAAAACAAAACTAACAAACTTTGTTCAGATAGATATACGCTGCCTTCGCAGCCGATTCAGGTTCTATGTCACCCTCTTTCTTCTGAATGCTCTGCCCCCTTTCCGTGCCGGCTCAGCATTCCCTTTGTTATTAAATGGAGGTTGGACGTCAGGGATTGATGTTAACCTGGAGAGGGGGCAGGGAGGCAATCAGCACACCTTACTGTGATTTCAGGACAGAAGGCTTTTTCTTCATTTGCCTTCAGCCTGGAAAGGTCCAGTCAATCTTAAACTAATAAGAATTTGTTAAACTGATAATAGGATAACCAGAACCCAGTCCAAATATAAGCCATTTATTCTTCCTTTATCTGTTAAATATCTCACTTTTTACAGTCTGACAGCTTCTGCCAAACCCTAATCACTCACTTGCTTGATTGCTACCTCTTTCTGCTCTTTAGCCCCTCTGATATCTGCCAGCTATCACTGCCAGCTATCGTATTTCCAAAAAACACAAGCAAAGAAATCACCTCCTTCATCAGCCTAACTTTATGCAACTGAACCACCATCCTGGTTCTCCTTTTCTAATCACATCAAGATTAATCTCTTTTTTTCCTACAAGACCTCAAGTCCCTCTACACAGACCCACATTTCTTACCCAAGTTTGTTTAGCATTCCATGTCAGCTATCTTGGCAGTAATGTCAGCCTGTTTATTTTTTCATAATAGTTTCCCACTCCTTTCCCATTCTATCTCTCCTGCACACGGTCCTCAGACAATTCATGTTCAGGCTACCCATATTACATCAAACCGGTAATTTTGTTTTAGTCATTTCAATCAATGTTCTCTTAGTTGACAAATCCTGTTACCTGTCAAATTTTATCTTGCCTTATTATCTGTTTATTAATGCTATCAGAAGGCTTTGGTCATTAAAAAAAAAAAAAAAGAAGGATGTATGTGATAAGAGCTGGTAGTTCCAGGTAGGCGGACAAGCATGATCACCACCAAGGACTGATGAATGCAGGAGGCATGGTTTCATAAGCTCTTTGTCCTTCCATTTGAGCACAGATGACTGCAAGGAGACTCTGCCAGGTTTATGTGTGTATTTGTGCCAGACTGGCTTTTTACATTTGTGCAGTATATTTAAATAAGAACTACACTTGAGAGACTTATTTCCCATATTTTATATATACTGCAATAATAATAATAAACAGGCAATAGATAGATATATTGTATCTTCTTTAAAAGCAGCCCTATTCCAGTTGGAAATCAGTCAATAAATTCTCTGGTGGTGAAAGGGGTGAAATAACTTTGAAATCCATGGAGCTGAAATAATTTACAGCAGCAGAGAACACAATCACTAACTTCAGTTTTGATAATATTGAGAAAAAGGCATTTCAAAAACACACATATAGTCAGCTTCTGCTTAAACCATTGCCAATTTTGTTCTAATAGTAAGTCTTTTGCTTTCCATTAAGTAGCACAAGGAAATGACAAAGGGTCAAAGTCATAAGCTACAGTAAGGAAAATTCAATTTGAATATTACGAGGGGGAAAAACCGCAGTGAGAGTGGTACAACACTGGGGCCCATGTTGTCCATAGAGGCTTCAGCTCTGCTATGATCCATCTGGATTGCTGTTTGCTCCATCTGGTTCACAGCTCTGGTTGTGTAAGAAATGTAGTCTTGTTTATCAGAGTGTATCATGGTCACCGTCCTATGCATATCTGTCTGGACAATATAGCCTAGTGTCATCCATCTCTGCAGATACAGTTGCTACAGTTTATTTTTTTTTACATGGGGCTCGGGAAGGTAGCACAGACCTATAGAGTTAGGAGGGAAAATAAGCCTGTGAAAGGACCTGACCTCCCAGTCCAGTATATATGTGTCAGAATATATATATATATATATACTCTTTTATGTAAGAAAATCCAGCATAAAGACATCTTTCAGCTTAGAGACTCGCAGGTTGCTCAGACAGATGCAATGCAGCGACATAGCGCATAACTCTCTCCAGTGTGTGAGGAAGGAAGAACAAAGACCTGAGACGTGTAATGCTGAAAAGTTACTCTGACACTTTGTCACGAAGGACATCCACAATTCAGCTACTGTTCCTCATTACCACCACTGGAGTCACCTGCCTTTCCTTTTCTATAAGGGAGAGTTTTTAGGCTGACAGCTTCACCGTACACATGGATACACTATTTGTATACAGCTGCCAGGTGAATTTCTCCTCTGGATTAAGCGGTCTTATCTGCCCAGTTTCATTCCTGGCCACATTTTTCTGCTTTCTGCATTGTGAAAGCACAAAATGTGTTTCTCCACATTGAGACACTGCCCCAGGATAGTGATCAGCAGGGTCAGTTCACCAGTCTGGTTCACTGCATGAAAGCCCACCTGGTAGCAGGAAGGTGAAGTAGGAGTGGCAGCAACTTTTTTATCAGCAATGTGCACTTAATACAGTTCAAAAACTACCCCATAATTTTTCTTTTCCATGCTTTTGACTTCTACAGCCCTACAAAACAGTCCTAGAGAATTCTTCCAGCAAAAGAAATTAGAATGTCACCACACAAACTTACTGACTTCCCACTTCAAATATGCCAAAAATATGAAATATATCTGCTTCTTAGTTACACAGGTCAACTGACTGTATATTTATACTTCCCCTTAGCACACACTAACTACACAGGTTACCGATCAAGTCATGAAGTAAGCACACAAACATGTAAATAAAAAGATTACAAAAACAAAGAAGCTACTGCAACAACCCACCGTGCTCCCCCGCAACTACTACAATAGCAGGCTATAGCCACCACAACCTTAGTGCAAGACAAATTGCTGGGAAGCAGAATCAGTTACTGCTAGCAGTAAACTAGCAGTGAGAGCAGGGAGAGAAAAGCTTTACGAGATCCAGCAGTATATAAGGAATTGTGGGCCCTTAAATTACACAGCAAAGGGACTGCTCTGGTTTGATGAAAGGTTCTGAATGTGTATGTATCAGGCTTGGGTCCTGGAGAGCTTATTCAAGCTTCCTATAATTTCTGTAGTTGCTGCAGGGTATGTGATGCTCAGCTGAAGCCAACATCTGCCCAACAGCACAACCATAGAGAAGCTACAAATTAATTTCAAATTTAAATAAACATTGGCAGTAAATGCCACAGAACAACAGGGAGTTTGAAGTCAGATGACACAGCTGAACTTTTGGGTTGGTCCAATAGTTGAGTTCAGTAAAAACTGTGGACAGCAGTCCAAGGCTAGTACAAATACAGTGCAGATATATTACAAAATTTGCCTTCCTCCTCTTGTTTCCTCCATCCACTCCTGATTTTTATTTCTCTGATCTCTACTCAGGACAGAACTTTGTTTTTCTGAGTGTAGGTGGAGTCAAATGACTTTTGAGGAGAGGAGGAGGGGATTTGTATAAAATCTGATGGCTTACACATCCTGAATGAGACAGATCGGTTTATTCAGATAGTCCGATGGTTGTTCAGATGAGAAAGATGACCTGGTGGTTTGCAGTACAACTCAAGAACTTACATACAACTGGAAGGTGAAGGAAAGTGAAAGAAAAGCTTCATATACCCTACAAGCCTTGGTTGCCTGAATAAGGTAATTTCTTGATACTATATTTGATTTTTGTTACTTCAAACTGATTGCTCAGAGCATTCAGGCCCTCTTTTCCCCCCGATATGCCCTGTCAATAAACTGTGTTATAGATCATATTTATTAGACTGATTCCTTCTAAAATGATGTTACGAAGTTAGAAAGGAGAATTTAATTAAGAGTTCCTCCTGAACTTGTATCTCAAGAGCAGTAACTAGCACAGCTCTATTGTATATCAAGCTGTAGTGGCCAGTGAGCATCAGCAGAGCCAGTCTGAGTGTTATGAAGACCATAAGGTATCTGAGTGTGACAAACACAGTAAGTACCTGTTCCTTGCTAGTGTATAAAGGCACGTGTGGAGGAAGTTTCAGCATAATTTACAATTATTTCTTTCTTCTAATACAACAATTAAGACAAGATTATATTTGTTAATCTGCTGACAATTTATTAAAGATCTACTTTGTATTTAGTTTTATGTAATTCCTGTTTCAAGGTATCAGCTTTTGGTAAAAAGTAGTTGTACCTCTGTGTACATCAAGTATGTTTTTCTTGCTTTTCTCTTTTTTTTGCTAAGTCTGAATCAAAGGTAAAGTACTCTACTTGTACTGGAAACTCAAATCAAACCTCCACTTACGAATTGTATTTCTTTATCTAAGTGTGGAAAAATTTAATACTTGCCTTTTTTGTCTTCCTGGGGAACCTGTTTCTGTAACGTATCATCAGCTCACAAGGAGTCCACTCAGCCTCTAAGAGAGAGTGAATACAGTTATCTGGGGAGTTTTATATATGAATTGCATGAAAACAAGAAGATTAGGATTCATACCAACAAGAGTCTTTTCTTGATTCCACCGCTCAGTTGTTCTGCAATGTGCAGCAAATGTATTCAACTCATTTGCTCTTTTGTAAAAAGTGAATTAGAACATGGAACAAGATAACCGGGTAAAACAAGTATCAGTCTTCACAAGTTTATATGGCGCCCTCAAATGCAAGCAGTCAGATAAGCGTTTTATAATTTATTTTTATTATTGTTTGATAAGCCTTTTGAGTCAATGACATGAATAAAAGCAGAAGCAGCTTGGAGAACTTGTAGAGCATGAATAGAGGAACACCTGCAGTGTCTCAGAAAGTGCCTCTCTAGCTATTCAGCTGCAAAGATAAAGGTTGCACTCCTACCTGTGTGTTCTTGCTGGCAAATTTTTCTGTAAGGATAATGATACTACTAGCAGAGCTGTCTGCTCCTGCTGATGAACACACCAAGCACAGATGACAGCATTGTGGCTTTCCTGATTGAAGCCCCTGTCTCACAGGGCATCCACTCCAGCTGCCATGAGAAATCTTGGAGGTAGGAGTCAGTGGGATGCCAGACAGAGTGATGATTCTTCCAGACATGGCTTTATATTCTTTGAGGAATCTTGTGTGTTGGCACAACAGAAAGAGGACTTTCCCTTCAGGTTTTTTCTCCTTTCTTTTAAAAGACTAGTTTCAGGGAGAAGATGAGAAACTGAAGATACTAAAACCTTACTGTTTACCATTATTCAATAGCTAAGAGCAAAATGAAATCCTGTGTGGGTTTTTTCAGCTTACGTTTTTTGGAACTACATCATCTTGTAATAAACTTTCTCTTGCAAGTGAAGGAGGAAGAAAGCAAAGCATGGTGTCAGAAGCATGTTCACCCATTGCAACATCTATACTTTCTTCTACCCTGTTCAGGCATTCCAACCCTTCCCAACATGTATGTAGCTGCACTGCTTTCAAATCTATAGGGCTGTTGGAGATAACTACATTAATCATGCAACTGAAACAGGAATTTCATTTGAAGTTACATGTACCACTGTGATCATTAAAAGGGACTCTGAGGGCTGAATTCTAAGCTGTGACATAAAAGATATATTTGTTGTAAGGAAAAATGCTGTTCATCTAAGTTTTGTGAGCAGTAGGGCCTGATTTATATTCCTCCTGGAGCAGAGTTTGCCTAATGAAGGTGAAGGGTGCTGGGTGGTGTCAGGAAGTAGTAGATTTTATCATGCCTGTTTTAGCCTGAGTGCTGCCTGGTAAGTAGCAGGATTTCTCCTATCTGTCTTGTGGCACAAATCATAATCCCTTGCCCAGGCATGCCCATGCAGAATACAGAAATATCAGTATCTCTCTGCCTAGGCAGGCTCATTTAGCTTAAGTCTTGCATCTTTTTTATGTTTTTTTATGTTCTCAAACAAAATTATGACCATGGTACTTGAACCCAGCAATATCAGAAAACATGGCTACAGCTTGATCTAGATTCTGTATTTTCTCATAGTATCTGAGTACTAATATGAGTATTAACAGTTTTTACCTTACAAAATTTATGACCTTTGGAAGTATTAGCTGCATTTGCCAACTGAGAAAACAGGCACAGCAAGATCAAACAACTTGCTTAAGGTCACCCAGAAACTGTGGGAATGAAAACCAGTTTCCTTCATATAGACCTCAACCACAAGGCAGTCCTCTCTCTCTTGTGGCTGTTCTAAGATTTTTCAGGATGTTGTCTGAGTTGTTGTGCAACTGATTGTCTGGCTAACTATGTCCAGTGCCACATGTTAGTCCAGACATGTCAGCAGAATGATTTTGCTTCTGACATCTAAAAGGCTCTGATGGATTCTTTCTCCCACCCTGCTGAAGTGATTTAGGTCCTCTTGAGATCATACACCTCAGTGAAGCAAATCACAGGACTAGTGACTGCTGCTTTGTACTGAATAAATTCTACTGGTATGGATTTCCCTAACACTCATTTTTCCCAGCTGCACACAGGGAAGATAATTTTAAGGATAGTACATCCGGCTATCTCAAGCTCCCATTCTCCCTCCAAGAGAGGGGTGTCATCTCTTCTTTGGTCTTCTGCATTTTGTACAATATACCTGCCCAGAATTTAGTGTCCATGAAGAAACCAGAAAAATGAATGTTTCCCTCCCTCAGCCAGATCCTGTGCCCACCATGCACTATATGATTACTCCAAGTTTGTCACAAAATTTCTAAGGGGAAATACACTTCTTTGATGATGTGTTTAATAAGATGTTCTTGCCTATTAAGATGCCTTCAAAAGGAAGCATGCACCCCATTTTGGCAAAAATGCTTGGCAGTGTAGGAGCCAATAATGTTTATAAATGCTAAAATGCTGAGGACCCTAAAATTCTTACGCAGCGTTCCTTGTAAGTCAGTCACAGCTATATTGGTTCAGGCCAAAAGTGGATCTTTAAGATTAAGAACAGAGTAAGGATAAAGTGATACATCCCGAATTTGGACTAGCTGCAGCTTGGACACTTTCTGAGTCAGGGGCCATTTTAAAACATTTGTTAATCCTCAATAGTTTTGTACAGCACAGATTTATCTAATATTTCCATGTGAAGTTCAAGTATCCACAGTCTTATGTGGCAGGAAGCTCCAAAGTTTCACAGTGTACAGGTAGTCCTCAGATGTCCAGTACCATACCTCATACTGGTTCCCTGATTTACTCCTCAGAGACCAGAGTAACACCAAGTTTATGCTGAATACCATTTCCGAGATCACACACATCTTTTTACACAGGGAGAAGACCAGTTGTCACTGGAATTACTGAGATAACATTGTAATGGTTCTGAATTAGAGATTTGCTTACAACAGCAAGAATTTTTAAGTTTATACATTCCCATGTTAAAGTTGCAAATTCACATGGGATTTTTAGAGACAAAGCACAGACAATAAAAAACAGGTTTGCAGTATTCCTGGAACTTATGCAATGATTAAAAAATGGAAAGTGTCGAGATTGATAGACTCCCATAGTGAATACCTTCAATGGGAATTCTTTTGTTTTAAATGTCATTTTCGTATTTGCCAAATGGGAGGTGAAGTATTTCTCTGAGAGGCTGCCATCTCAGGAATGGAAAGTCCACTAGGTTCAGACTTCCAGATAAGTGAAGTAGCTTCCATTTATTTCCATTTATTGGATACCCAGAATATTGAAACAGACTGATTTCCTGTCCTTTTCAGCTTGGGAATATTTTCTTTTTTTCTATAACATCTTCTGTTGCACTAGTAATACCACTCATAGAAGCAACTTAGCAAATATAATAGTGATTTATCTATACACACAAAATTGTGACAACAGGCTGATGGGTATAAACAATTGCCTTGATGGCTTTACAATTCATTAAATTGATTGCTATGCTCAGAGAATGTTAGGAAGTATGGTAACCTATGAGGCATTTTATTTTCTGTTTACTATGATATATTGGTTTGAAAAATGGTGGGATAGGGTTCTTGAAGTTACTAGAAAGGGTAGGATCCCCAGCCTGTGTTTGAAAATTTGCTTATCTGCATCTTTTCCCATAGTCTTCTCTCATGTTCACATATGCTTCTTTTTCTCTTTCCTGCACTCCATACTTGAATATTTTTCCTTTCTTTTTGTTTTCTTTTGTTTTGCTTTCTTCACTCAGTCTTCTGTCTCCTGGGGCATCAGTTCCTCAGGTAATATTTTCAGTCAAACTGCTGTAATGCATATTGTATTTTAATTTGGTAATTAATCTGTGTAAGCCATTCCTAGAATACTTTAATTCATTTCTTTAACAATGAGTCTTCTACCAATTTGCAGATCTGTTAAAAATCCTCATCACCATCACTACCACTGCAGGAAAAAAAAAAATCAAAAGCCAACCCAAAGCCCAGAGAAGATCTGAGAATTAAAAAAGATGCAGGCTGAAGACAGCAATCCACCAGATGGTGGCTATGGATGGGTTGTGGTAGTGTCAGCCTTCATGGTGATGGGCCTCACTGTTGCTGTTCTCAAGACTTTTGGTCTGTTCTTTGTTGAAATCCAGCAGCACTTTGATGGACTTGCAAGCACCACTTCCTGGATCACATCAGTAACTATTGCCATCTTTCATTTAGGAGGTAGGTAGAAGTGCTCCTCTAGCATTTAATTTTAATGTATTAACTACTAAAACAAGTTTGAAAAGCTTCCTTAAGAAAAACCCAAACCAAAAATATGTAAGGACAAGACTTTCTTCTTCTGTCTCTACAGAAAATACAGAAAAATTTCTTACAGAAAATTAGCATTTGCTGCCTCAGATATGGAATTGGTTAATAATGACACTCTAGATACACAGGAATCTGATTGCCATAAAGAACTTCATGTTCCTGAACTCATGATTCAATTTTGCTACAGGCTTTGAGTTAAACTCATTGGAAATAATTCTAATAACTACAGAGCTTGTTGAATCAAGCTCTTAAACCAGTTTGTGCAAGTTCACTGATCTCAGAGCGACTGTCACTTTTTCAAAGTACTTTTAAACTTAAGGACCGTAACCCTGTCTATCAGATAAACCATCTGCTACCAAAATGATGATTCTCAGTCCTGCCTTCTCACACTTCTCCTTTCTGTCTTTGCCAAGATCCCCCTTCTTTGCATGTATTGCCAGTTCTGGCTCTCCTTTAACCCCTTTAGGATGATTGCAAGTCATTTATCTAACAGAAAACTCACAGAGTTAAAAAGAAAAAAAAAATCAGTTCACTCAGAGCACAAGAAAGACAAGATCATGCAAGCTGAGCGTAGGGGAAGAGAGAGTGAACTATCCCAGTCAAAGGCAATGAGCTATGGGAGCAGGCCAAATACCATATCTCACCAAACGAAGGAGAAAAATAGAAAACATACTGCATTTGACTCAGCTTGGTTGTTAAGAGAGTCCTTTGCGCCCTTGTAAACTGCATGATCCTTCACATGATGATGATGATTCTAAACATGTGCAGGCTTGAAATGTACAGAATTTGTGAAGTCTGCTCTACATATTCTCATACAGATATATGGTTGTAATAGGTAAATATCCTTACGTAATAAATGCTATCATAATTTTGTTTGTGAAGACATTTCATTGCATAGACACTATATAATTATATGCATCCTACTCAGTCCACACCTATCAGTATTACCGCTTGGAATTGCAGTACTTCCAAACATCATGAACAACTGATCTTTCTTTAAAAAATGTATTCAGAAGAATCAAAGAATAATCCAAAGTCAAAGGATAAAGCAAGTCATGGGTTGAAAAGATTTTATCAGTTCCATAAACTGCTATCCTTGATGCCTGTTTTGCAGTGACAGAAATAATTAACTGAAAAAAAAAAATTGAAAAACTTGCTTCACAGACCACAGAAATGAATAAATCTATCAATCTGGTTTACAAATTAGACTTATCACAGACCTACTGTGGTACTGTTTTGTCACTCAGGCATACAAACTTAATGAGAAAAAAAAACAACGTAAGAGGACAAAAGAACTCAAAGTCCTGTTTTAGTTAGGTTTTGTTTTGGTTTAAACACGTATTTACATTATATAGGAATGTATCAAGGAATTGAGCATATTAATAATATCAAATATAAACCAGCAAAACTGTATTTGCCTAGCCAGGTCTGAGACCAGCCTAGTTCCAAGAAGGCAGCTATAATTTTCAGCAGAAATTGTTTTTCATCCTTTGAGATGAAAACAACCCTCTTTCAGTGAATACAGCTTGATGGCCAAATGTTCCAAAACCCCTCTGTATAGCAGTTTATAATGTCTCAGATCAGTATGTAATTGTCCTCATCTTCTCCTGCCTTTGCTTCATTTACAGGGACCAGAAGACTTTCTGCTTAAGATCATCTGAACCTCCAGTTCTTTGAGCATCTTTCCGGGCCTAGCTTAGTCTTTCTTATCGTGTTCTTCTGGGAAACCTTCAGTGTCATTTGGTTCAGTATGAAGGATGATCACTGAATTATTATTTTGTCCTGTCTGGATCCTTCCAACATCAGCTCTGTTCTTGTATGGAAGGAGAGCATGTGCTTCTACTCCCAGGGTTTGCACTTGCAACAGGCTGTTCAGTTTACCAGAGCAAGGGTTCTCCCCATCACATTCACAGGCTTTCTCTTGGTACTGATGTACACATCCCATCACCTTTCTCTTCGCACTGTGATTATAATCCCTTTTCATTTCTTGTAAGTTTTCTGTGTGTTACTCTTTATCCTTCCAGACTGTGGAATCTAGCTATTTTTTCCATTTCTAGTTCTTTGGTTATCTTCTTTCCTTCTTCTTCTACCCCATGTTCAATTTCTGCCTGTCCTCCTTTTCCACTATTTAAAAATTGGATTTTGGTAGTATTTCTGCTCCAACTGCAGATCTCTCTCTTGTCTTAAAGCACTTTCATAGAAGTTATCCTAGGTCTACTTTTCTCTTTTTTTTTTCTCATCATAGTGTATGATTCTCCAACTGTATCTGCTTTATCATGTCTCATCCACTACATCTTAGAGACCGTGACTGAATTTTGGTATAATTTTTACATGTTTATAAAATCATAATATTTTTGCTGTAAATTCTGATGAGACATCTGGGGTTTGTATAACTTCTGCCAGGTCTGTCTGCTATCAGACAATGTACATCCTGCACATTTTGCAGCCATTATACTCTGCCAGATTTATTTCACTCATCCTAGCCACCAAATTCTCTTAATTCTGATCCTAATACAGGTGAACCTAGAACAACCTGCCCCTACAAACTACTATGAAACCTTCCTTACTGACTGCCCTCTCTTCATTGTCTTCCTACTTATTTCAACTTACAAGCATGGTCCTCGTTAACTGAATTCCAGTTCCCAGAACAGTAATGTATTGAAGGGAGCCGACCGATGCCAGGTGGTACTTAGGAGTCCCCTAGTGGCCAAGGCTATTTAAAGAAGTCTTACGGCCTTGACCTCATCTCTGTGATGCTGGTGGAAAAACAGCGAGGCAATATAACTGATCCTTAATTAAACAAAAATATCCCTGGCATTTCAGGTGCTTCTAGATAGGGAATAGAGATAAAGCAGTTGCTGCCCTGTCAGATCTCTACCTACTGCATTTTTGCCCTTGTGCTGAACAGTCCCTGCACTCTGCTGAAACGGTACCCTTAAAATAAAGATTTAAGAAATGAACTGCAAATGTCCTGTAAAAAGCATAACCACAAAATAAACACTGCTTTTTTTGTCCTTTATAAACTTTTGTAATTCCATAAAGATATGATTTTGCAAAACTAACAAAGGTTATTTTCCTCCAGAAGGTTTCCGTGCCAACCATATCAATAATACAGTCTCAATAATAAAATTGAGGTTTCACTTCCTGCTAAAATTCTACACTAGTTTCTGTCACATTGCTAGTTGTATATCCTTACATGAAATTCAGTAGAACTGTCCTGCAAGGAAGGCACTGAAATGCTCTTTCCCTTTAAAAAAGATTACATATTTTGAATATATTTAAAAATCTGACTGCCAGGGACAGTCATTTCCCTGTCAGTAAGGATCCAAGTTTGAAATTGCAGTTGATGTCCTGCTCCATCCAGAAGAATTAAGTCTGCTTGAGACAAGAGTTATAAGGGTACTTTATTTGATTTATTTGATTATTTGGTCATGTCAATCAGCTTAATGTTCCTAATGTATTTTTCTTTCTCCAATTTTGCTGCTGATCCAGCACCTGTTGCCAGTTCATTATGTGCACGATACACCCATCGGGCAGTTGTGATCACTGGAGGACTCCTGGCTTTTTCAGGAATGGCACTGGGATTTTTTGGATTCAACATGGTCTGGATGTATGTAACGACTGGCTTCCTACAGGGTATGACTTTATGGCTTTCTTCCAGCAGCAACTCAGAGCCCTTATCTGAGGGTGCTAGTGGTAGGAGTTTTGAAATCTGATGTATATTTTGATTTCATGAGCAGCTAGAACCAACAATGCTCTTAAAAGGTGTCTTCCCTCCTTTCCCACTCTGGAAATAAGAATTTGTGCAGGAAACCTGCAATGACAAAGAAGGTAAATAATTAGATGCTAGTAACTTGCACCTGCAAATTATATACAAGCAGAAAATGAAAAGTGTTTTGTTTTTCACTTGGAGATAAGAGCCTTGTGAAGGTTTAAAGAACCTTCATAAAGAGTACTGGAGTACAAGGACACAAAGATCCCAAATTTTGTTCTTTCTATAACATTATCTTATGTTTTGAACAGAGGCCCAGACTTTCACTTGATTTCAATCCTTTCCTTTACTCCAGTGAAAACAGGCCAGAAAGTTCCTTCCAACAATTAACAGATTTTCCTGGAACAGGAAGAAAAGCTGGCAGGGTATAAAATAAACCATTTCAAATTCCATGCCGGATGCCTGGGAAAATGTCTGGAATTTGAGCCCTTTGGCAGTCCTGGGCTGCCAAATAATCTAGGGAGCCATTAAAATCACTCTAAGTTAGAGCAGGTTTGAAGTCTGCTCAAAGAAATCAGGCAAGAAAATGAAGAGCAGATAGAGGTAATACACCAGCTTTCTTCATGTCCTGCCTCACTTGCTACCCTGAGCACAGTTCAGCACAGCTCAGCTTAACTCATCTAGTACCAGCCTTAATTCAGACAGCATAGACACACAGATCTGTCTAGCTTCAACCACATGACCATGTGATTTCTCACGCAGTGCCAAAGCTGTCAAACCAACTTCTTTTATTTATTTATTTATTTATTTATTTATTTAACTAAGAACTTCATGATCCTACTTTTTTGCTTGAATATATACGACTTACTCTTACAGAATATGTGACAAATTTACTCCTACAGGTAGTACAGCTAAGCTCATGCTGCTGCTAGGAACAAAAATGTTTTCCTTCTACACTTTTTAACTTTGCACATAAAGGAGCACTGACTGCCTTAATTTCCTTCACAAAATACTCAGTAGTGTCTAACCTGTGCTATTTCTATTGTTTTTCAGGTCTTGGGATTTCCTTTTCATGGACACCAGCCATTAGCATTGTTAGCCATTATTTCTCCAAGAAAAGGGCTTTGGCCAATGCTATTGCCAGCGCTGGAGAATGTGCCTTTGCATTCACATTTGGACCATTTTTCCAGTGGTTGATTAGTCAATATGGATGGAAAGGTGCCCTCTTGATCATAGGTGGCATCCAACTCAATATTTGTATTGGTGGAGCACTGATGCGACCCCTGGCAAGCAGCTGCCTCCTTGAGGCTCACCATTCCGAAACTCGAACACCACCTGGCAAGAGTGCATCCAGGACGGACAAAGAAGATAAGTCTCCTATCACACACAAAACCTTCAATTGGATGCTTCTGAAGCGACCAGAGTTTGTACTTTATGCCATTTTTGGCATATTAGCTGCTATGAGTTTTTTTGTTCCTCCGTTATTTTTAGTTCCATTTAGCTACAGCCTGGGAATAGATGAATCATGGACTGCATCACTCCTATCCATTTTGGCTATGGTGGACTTTGCAGGCAGACTGCTGTGTGGCTGGTATGCCAATCTCCACGTTACCAAAACCATTCATTTGCTGGTGATGACAATTACACTGATCAGTACTTCCCTGATGCTGTTGCCACTGGCTAACAATTATGTTTCCTTGGCAATATTCACTGGCTTCTATGGATTCTTCTTTGGTACGACAGTCGCCATTCACATTACAGTGCTGGCAGATGTTGTAGGCATGCCAGAATTTGACAGTGCTTTAGGGCTTTTCATGCTCATTCGAAGCTCTGGAGGTTTTGTGGGGCCCCCTCTTGCAGGTAAGTTAAGATGATACTCTGCCAAACACAGTTTACAAAGTTTACAAGAAGAAAGGAGAGTGGTAACCCAAACTGAAAAGATCTGGATCTGCACCCGAATTTCCCCCTTTCTTACCTCAGGCGCATGTAAGCCAAGAAGTATATAAAAAACAAATGGTTGGTTTAAATCCTCTCGAAAATACACTGTTCCCTCTCTTCTCTGTGATTTTAGAGATACCTGTTCAACATGAAAGCGGGGAGGAATGGCAGGGTTCACTTGGTGGTGTTCCTGCTTCCCACAGAATGCCACTTGATGGCCTCCCACTCTCTTGCTATGAAAGTGTGCCGTTAGGACAAGCAGCAGACCCATACTTTCAGAGAAGAAACTGAAATTTGAGACTAGCGATGTTGCACAAATGCTGGTATTGTTGGAAGGCTTCCTATAGAAGTTCAAATTGAACATTAGGCTATGCAAACCTCAAGGAAATATTCACAGAGATGCCTGCTGTTTTTAGACAGCATTTGAGACAACCAACATAATAAATGGGTGAGGCAGCACATAAGAACAGTGGGAAGAGAAAGCAGACAATGAGACAGCACATGGATTTATGGACTGGCAACAAAGCATAATCATCTTGGAAAAATGCATGGCAAATGAACTGCAAGCTGTAGGGACTTTACAAAGTGATATGGCAGAAAAATGACCAATGTGACTAGTAAATGCACACAGAGTCCTCATTCAAAGACCACTGCTCATGCATGACAGTGACTTCTGTGGTAATGGCATCACTAATAGATTGCAAATGGGTCAGACTGAATACTGGAACATTTTAATTCACTTTTGAAGATATAGGAACCAGGAAGATCTATAGAGAGTTTGAGACAGAACAGTATCAAAAGTGTGTTGGAAAGATCTGAAAATAATACTAAGGTAGCAAGACATTTATACAGTGGCTAGTCAGTAGCACTGATTATCTGGGGATCAGTTTGTGTACATATAGTAATCTACAATTACTGTATGTAGTAATACCATGTGTGTACATACAGTAATCTACAAAGAACGTATGGAAGAGCAGGGAACCCTAAGTGCTTCTCAAGCTCTCCTCTCCCACTCTGAGAGTAAAATCTAAAAGATTTAAATTCAGAGTTCCTTTGACTACATAGGGCTGATGTCAGGTTAGAGGGTGGGCTAGAGACTATGCTAAATGTGAACAAGCCTTCCACAAGCAAGCAGTTTTCATCAGCCCGCAAAGGAATATGCCATCACACCCACAGAGCAGCTGATATACTGCTGCAGTACTACTACTACTACTATACTAGTGATTTCTCAGTACAGAACAAAATGGCATTATGTATTTTGGTTGATTTAAAGCTTCTTGAAAACCAAGGTCTTTTTGTTAACATCTGTGACTCCTTGTAAAATGATGAAATGGAAACCTGTTATACATCAGACAAATTAACCAACTATGTCTCCCGCAGATGAATCTCCTTTCCTTCTTTAAATTATCTTGTGCTGTACAGTTATGGTCCAAATTACAGCAATTGATGACAGCTACACGACAGAACATGGGGCTACTCAGATACACAGCTGCATTGTCTGGGTTTTTTTTCTGCCAGTATCTTCACTGTCTGCCACACTTTAGGTTGGAAAGTGCTTCAAACTGTGTATCATATTGTTTCAGTAGCAACATACAAAACAATGGGATGTGAATTGTGTTTCAAATGTTAAAATGCTATAATAGAGTGATGTTACATGTGCTCATGATGTAGAAAGCTGCAAGACAGGTATGTAGCCAGCACACTGACTTTGTGAGAGGATATGTTCACCTGTGGAGCTAATTCACATTAGCCTGTTTTCCATCAATCACATTTCTGTCACTTGTTTCTCTCCAGGTCTGATTGTGGACATGGCTGGAGACTACAGAGCAGGCTTCTACATGGCAGGAGCCACTCTCATCCTATCAGCTGGATTTTTAGTTACTTTAGATCAACTCCAACAGAGAAAAGAAAGAGAAAGCCAGACTAGTACTAAACTAGAAAAGTCAACATTATCCTACCCTTCCCTCCATCTCCTGAAACACAACAACAGAAGCTATTGAGAACACAGTGTAGTGGTGTGACTACGCTGGACCTCGGACAGCATTTCAGGACACATGGAAGTGTTTTATTTTAGCCAAATTCCCTATTAGTAGGATTTACAAAACAACAGAAGTTTTGGGTAGGAATGTTTGAAACTAAGGAAGAAAGTAAGTAGTTTACAAGCAAACTAAAGCAGTAACCATTATATATTATTTTGATGCTGAAGTTGCATTTCGACTATACAAGTCTTCAGTACAGTCCCACAGGGCCATGCTAAGTGAATTAGGGAAACTATGGTCTAAATTAAATTGCCATGAAGTGTGTACGCAGCAGACAGAAACTCTACTCCCAAATGCAGACTGCAGCTATCAAACAGGAAGAGACATCACCTCACAGATGTTTAGCTTGGGGAAGTAGTGTTCAGTATTTTCAGTAAACAAGTCGGATGTGAAAGCATGAGTACCTGAATGGAGTTTTGAGCTAAAGATTTGAAGGTACTCTACAGAGCAGGGCTGGAATCAGATAAATAAATAAACCTGATAAATGGGAAAAGGTACATACGTGATAGAAAACAGTAGAGAGAAATACAGTATTAAATATCAGAAGTAAAAAGCAAAATACATCCACATAAAATGAAGAAGGATTGATGAATAGTAGAAGAAGACCTATGGCTATGGTGGCCTTCAAAATGAGTAAGAATCCCAAATGCAACCTTGCATTAAAAGTACTAAATGTTCTGTGTTATTGGTAAGATAGAATGATGCTTGCAAGGCTTTAACTGGAAGAAGTACGTAAGTTGCAAAGAATTAAGTGGAAAAAATTGAGAAAATTAAGAAAACACAACCTAAGGAAAAAGTGTAAGAAATAAAGTTTTTCTGGTTTAGAAGACAGAAGTATTTACAGGGCACAAGAACAGCCTTCAAATCCATAATAGGCTGACATAAAAAGACATTGTAGCCTGTTAAGCATGGAAGCAGACTACAAGGAGAATATGAAAACAGAGAGATATCAGGAATAGGTAAGACATGAGCAAGAATCTAAATATATTTGATTGTACTTCTAAGTAGTATGATGGGCTAGTTGACTTCCCTTTAGTCCCACATTCCAACTATCCTGAGGCAAATACTTTGAGTAAATACTCTTTGAGAATGAAAGAGAGTCTGTATCCAAATAACTTTTATTTT